GGGGGGGGGATGCGTAGTCTGGGAACATAGCCCGAGCGTCGGTCTGAGTGGGCACAGGCCCGGCCGGGAGCAGGCAGCAGAGGAGAGGCCTCTGCCCTGGGGGAGCCTCCTGGCCCTCGGCCCCCCTACCTGCAGCGTGTGCCGGAAGGTGGGCAGGAGATCCGTCAGCGTGGGCCTCATGGACCAGTCCGGGTCGCTGAAGTAGCAGCTTCTCAGACTGAGGCCCCGAACGGGGATCTCCTGCAGGAGGACCCGGGCCAGGCGCTCGTGCTTCATGACCCGCTCGAAGAAGAAGTTCACCTTGAGGTTGGAGGCGCGCCTGGCCAGCCTGGCCCAGGACATGCCCCAGATGACCTGGCCGTGGGGGTCGTGGACGTGGCACTTGATGTTTATGGTCCAGAGGGTCCTGGCGTTGTTCTCGCACAGGCCGTCCAGCAGCTCGTCCGAGATGCAGTTGTAGTTGAGGGTCAGGGACACCAGGCTGCGGAACGTGGCCATGGTCTTGCTGAACTGGGGGCTGCTGTAGACGGCCAGGTGGTGGCTGAAGTAGTCCTCGATGTTGAGCTGGGACACCAGGCTCTCGCCCCGTGAGCAGCTCAGGGAGCCGAGCACGGCGCAGCCCTGCTCCACGGTCAGCCTGGCCCCTTTCAGGCTGAGGTGATCCAGCTGCCTTCCCGCTTTCTTCAAGAAGAAGCTCAGGCTCTTGATGAGCGAGCCGCGGATGCTGTTCCTCCAGACGGGACGGTCCAGCTCCAGGTGCTGCACGGACAGTGACTTCAGGCGGTTGTTGTTCTTGCCCAGACAGGACAGGAGGCCTCGCATGGTGACCTGGAACTTCTTGGTGAGCACGGCATTGTAAGGGTTCAGAAACTTGATCTCCAGGTGCTCCAGATAGCGGCCAAATTTCTTCACGTACCAAAGAGCTGACTCGAACTCGGACGCGTGCACCCTGGAGGGTCTCCCGCTGAACGTGATGGTCCTGTACCGCCAGAGGTCAGCCGAGTACATCATCTGGTTCCACTTTCTGCAGACGAGGGCGGCCCGGGACCTGTCCCTGTCTCCCAGCCACCAGAACACGCGACGCAGGCACACGTCGGGCAGGGCGGCCCAGCAGCTCTGGTCTCGGGGCTGGACGGCTTGGCTTTCTTCGTCCATCGAGGAGCCGGGGTGTCCAGAGCAGCCGTGCGGTAGGCAGGGGCTTCCAAAAACGAGGAAACAAAAGCGACCGCTCGTCTTCTGTGGGGAGTAAAAAGGAAGCACCGAGACCTGCCGAACAGAAACCAGACCCCCTTGAATGAACTCGCAGCCCGGCCGCACGTGCAGCCCTTCCGTGAGGGGTGAGCCTCGCCGTGAAGGCCCGCAGAGACCCGGGCCGTCGGGGTCTCTCGGACACACGCACACCGGGACCCGCGCCCAGCACAGTCCCAGGAGCGAGAAGCCTGGGGACAGGGCTGTTCAGAGGAGGCGGCATCTGGGAGGGCCTTCTCGGTCTGCGTGGGAGCCGCGAGGCAGGCCAGGTCGGCCTGGCGGTGCTGGAGGAGAGCGGACGCACTCTGGGCAGAGGGCACCGTGGCGCAAAGCCACCGAACTGGGAACGAATGGGATCCGTTCACGTGCGGGGAACTAAAAATTGTCACTTCACTTGTGGGGGCGGGGGTTGGAGCCGGAACAGGGGGGAGGTGCCGGGTCAAGGGGCCCCGGAGCGATGCAGACAGAGGCTGCGTCCTAGGGGCCAAGACTGGAATTCCGACATGCCGGGTCCCCTTCTGGGGATGGGGACCCTGGCAGCTTGGCACCGAATTGCCGATGTGGGTGTTTGCATTCAAAGGGTTAGCGGCACATCAAGGGTCACGGGCGGAGAGCCTCCCATGAGGCCGCTGGGGCCGGGCAAGGGCCAAGGATCCTGCGCCCACAGGTGTTGTCAGTCTGATGTTAGAAAGGACCCTCCAGGGAGGGGGAGGATGAATGGCCAGAGCAGACTTTGGGCTCCGAGCCTGGGGCTAGGGCAGCGGGACCGCGGGGATGCGTGGGTTTATGCGTTCTTTGCAGGACACGGTGACTGGGAACGTAGAAGTGGGGACGACCTGGCAGCCGGGCTGCAGGCGAGACCTCTGCGAAGCTAGGGAGGCCCCGGGAGGGCCCGGCCACCGCCCATCTGGGGTGCTGGGCCCTGGGACTTTCTACAGGAGCCATCTGCTGAAGTTTTCCTGACGGTTTGATTTCCACGTTTCCCTGGCCTGAAACTTCTCCTCTTTCCCTTTCCCTGTCTCTCCCAGAGGCCCCGCTCTTCAAGCTTGTGGCCCTGTGGCCCCAGAACGCTTCTGCTGGCTACTTTACCAAGTGGCCCGAGATTATCCTCACGGCTCACGAAACCACAGGGCTGGAGGAGCTCTGGGAAGTATGTCTTTACAGATGGAAACTGAGCCCCAGAGGGGTGAGGGCACCTGCCTGTGGTCACACAGCCCTCAGGAGCCGAGGGACACGTTAATCACATTTCTCAATGAGGGACGGACGTGTGTCTGCGCGTGAGCTCGTGAACGTCGTTCACTTGCTCTCCATGCCTGTCCCCGGCTGCATCTAGGATCCGCGTGCAACCGTCCTCTGGGGCCCGGCGCCCTCCCCCACCTCCGGATCCAGGCAGACCTGCACGCGGGATTTGGCAGCGGCCTGGCCCCGCCCAGGGTTCCCCTCTCGCCCGTGTCCGTCCCTGACCACGATCCTCGTCCCAGCCTGTCTCCCGCGGGACTCACACACCCCTTGAGACCAGGGACGGCCTCATTCTTGTGAGTCGCACTTGCACACTGAACAAAGGAAGAGAGAGGGTCATCTCTTTGTTCACAGAACTGGGTCCCCAGCGCTTTGCTTGGAGCTAGGCGCGTGAGAGAGGCCAAGCCACTCCCAGAGCTGAGCAAAACCCTTTGCCCTAGCAGTCACTGCGCGCAGGAGCTCTCAGACACGGAACCACGGGGTGGTGTGGGCAGAACCGATCCGCGGGCTGGGAAAGCCAAAAGCCACAGTGGGTACTGGGCACATCCTCCCCTCCTAAACGACCTCGCCAGCCGCAGGCCGCGGAGCTCAGAGGTCGGGTCCTGGTTCCATCAGTTGCTAGGGATGACCTCAGGCAAGTTAATTTTCTCTGTGCCTCAGTCTCCACATCTGAAAACCAGGGATAATAGTGGCGCCTCTGTCTTAGCGGCGGGAGGATTAAATGAGCTGATCCGTGCAGGTGCCTGGTGCATATCAGAGGCTATACCGCTTTGCGCCTGGTAAGTGGAGGCCAAGGCGCTTCTGGGGGAGGTCCCTGCTGGGCGCGGTGAACACACCCAGTTTGCAGGTGGGGAAACAGAGGTGTTGCAAGTTGGGAAAGTCTCCCCGCGAACGCCTGCAGAGGGCGGGAAGGGATCGGAACCCACCCCAAGGGCTCACAGACCTGTCCCCCAGGCGGGGAGCTGCCAGCCCGGGAAGAAACCTAAGGAAGCCGCGTCACCCACGGCCCGGCCCGGAGGTGCCCGAGGACGCCTGTTTCCAGGAGGAGGCGGCAGGGGCCCCATTACCCGCTCACCGCGCCCCGCTCGTGCGCCCGGTTTGGGCTGCGGGGACCGCAAGCCGCCCGCCTGCTCCCGCGCCGCCTGCGCTC